CCACCATGAGCACGTGTGTTTACACACACACACAGACTCACACACACACACACACACACACACACACACACACACACACACACACACACACACACACACACACACATCCAGGCGAGCAGCCTGATTTATTGAAGGAACCAGTTGCTTAACAATCTGTTGTTTTTATGTTTTTGTTTTTTTAAAACCACCTTACTTGGAAATATGTAGTCTCAAAACTCCAGTTTTGGCCAGGGAGGAAAAGTCCCTATTGAGGATGGAGACTCAATTATATAGTCTCTGAATTTTACTTTTTCTTAGAGTATATTTAGCTGGACTCCTCTGCAACGACCACACCGGCCGCAGGGGAGCCCTGCTCCCGTCTCTCAGTTCTTCCACAATGCAGTGGCAGACCCTCTTCAAGTCAGCAGAATGATCCACCTGGAGGCGGCACAATGCAGAGAAAGGGGGGCGCTGGGGAGAGACAGTGCCAGGTTCAGTTCCAGTGCCACCACTGCCAGCTCTGTGCTGGAGCCTGGCTTCAGTTACTGCATCATCAGAGGCCACTCTCTTTTCTGAAGGCTCAGTAAAACCAGCAAACATGGGAACACCAGGAAATACAATCAATGAAACTACTCTGCACTGTGTAGATGAAAACAGTCCAGAAAATGGACTGGTCTTGCAGTGTCAATGCGAATTTTTAAAATGTTCTTTTGTGCCCAGGAAAGAACGTTTAGGGGGCTACTTTGGCTTTTTCAAATGTATGTTCCCTATGTTAAAGATGCAAATCAGAAGCTCAGTTCTTCTTTAAGCTTTTATGTTTAACTTACAAACAAGTATATTTTAGGGCTTCCCTGGTGGCGCAGTGGTTGAGAGTCCGCCTGCCGATGCAGGGGACACGGGTTCATGCCCCGGTCCAGGAAGATCCCACATGCCACGGAGTGGCTGGGCCCGTGAGCCATGGCCGCTGGGCCTGGGCGTCCGGAGCCTGTGCTCCGCAACGGGAGAGGCCACAACAGTGAGAGGCCCGCGTACCACAAAAAAAACAAGTATATTTTAATAATCACTTTAAATGGTTGTATTTGATGACTATTTGGTACCATTTATAAATGTAGTTTAAAATACTCCTTTGAACATTTAAAAATATACTTTATAAGTTTAACATATTCCATGTCCTTACAAAGTAATTCAGTTATTTGTGCTAACCAACCACACATTCCTGAATACCTAAAAAAATTCTTAGAAATCTAAAAATTTATGAATATGGTGATTAAGTTCCTGTTTTCTTAAATGTTCCAAAACTAATTTTAAAGGAAAATTCTATTTCAAACCACACATCTAAACTAATTAAACGTTTAAAATTAGAATGGCGGACTTCCCTGGTGGTGCAGTGGTTAAGAATCCATCTGCCAATGCAGGGGACACGGGTTGGAGCCCTGGTCAGGGAAGACTCCACATGCCGTGGAGCAGCTAAGCCCGTGTGCCACAACTACTGAGCCCACGTGCTACAACTACTGAAGCCCTTGAGCCTAGAGCCCGTGCTCCGCAACAAGAGAAGCCACCGCAATGAGAAGCCCGCACACCGCAACGAAGAGTAGCCCCCACTTGCCGCAACTAGAGAAAGCCTGTGCACAGCAATGAAGACCCAACACAGCCATAAATAAATAAATAAATGTATTAAAAAAGAAGTTAAAAAAAATTAGAATGGCAAGACTAATTTCTTACTGTAACAGGCTAAATTCTCTTAAACACTGCAAATACCTAAAGTACCAAATATGCACAAAGTCCTTAATACAGACACATTAATGCCATGTATTTGATTCACGTAAATATTTTTATCCTTAATTTTAAAATTTCTGGATATTAAAACAAACTTACCCACTAGGTGATAATTATGTCATCTTAAATATCTGGGAAGTTCCTTCCTGGGTGACTTTTTTGCAAACACATTCTCAGTGGCTCAGAGAGTATAACCAGCAGAGATTTAGTCCCAAGGCTTTTGGGTAGCTCTTCTCAGGCCCCAACTTCCCCACTGGGCCCTGTTTTATGGGTGCTGTGTCATTAGTCTCTGAATGGGCCAGTTTCATAGTCCATGGCCCCTAGATTCAAGTTACACTCCATCTAATTCTTCAGCCTACACACGGAAGTCAGAAACTCCTACCCAGGCTGCTACACCATTTGTTAGGATATAATTAATCTATTTAAGGATCCATTCTATTCTGGGTTCTTTCCACACTCTTGCCAGCTTCTGGAGCCACAACTCTTACAGATATTGAGTGGTTTAATTTCTACTGGTGTTGCCTGACCCTGGTTACAGACCTAACGTTATGTCAGAGACATGTATCAGGAATATTAACATTTAACAGGGAAAAAGGTTAGGATGAATGAAACCCTGGGAGAGGTGGGAGAAAAATGTTACAGAATCCATTTGATTCATTATACTCTTCTGTTATTGTTTGATAGTGTTTTAAAGGTATTATTTTTTCTTGCCTCCTAAGCTAGACAGTAAATCCTTGATTGCAACCACCTAGGTGTCTTTGCTTAGCTTCAATTCACAGCCCCCTCCAAAATCATAATGTATGTTGGCCCCGTGTTAGGAACCCAGTGATATATGGAAAAAAGAAAATCCAAGAACTTTTGTGCCCTCCTAAGGTAGTATCTGAGATAGATGGGGAATTACTGGAAAAGCAAGCAAACGAAAAAGAATGAGTAGACACAGGTGTCTCTTAGATTAAGATCTTGAATGATTGGCTCTGATGTTTCCCCTAACCAAGACTGAGAGATGGCAGGAGGAGGGGCAAGTTTGGCAGCCAGGCAGATTTGAGCCCAGTTCTGAGTGTTTTTGTTAAGATGTCTGCAGGATGCTGAGGCAGCTAGTAACAGTAGGGAGATGGATATACGTGCCTGGAACTTGGGAGACTGGAGCTGGGGAGGTGCTTTTGGGAGCAGGTAAGTGGCACTTGAAGCCATGGAACTTTATCAAGTCACTCAAGAGAGTACAGTGTGGGAAGAAAAGAGAGCTAAGAATAGGACCCTGAGAAACACCATCATTTAAGGTGCAGACAGAGAAAGTGGAGCCTGCCCACGACACTGGGGCAAAGCCAGAGGAGTAGAAGAATGTTGTTTTCCTCTCATTTTCAGTACGTCTTCCTTGGTCAGAAGCACAGGGTGGGCGCAATAGTGATAGTGATGGGCAGAGTGTGGTATGGCAGGGCCGCCTAGATGCTGTTGGGGAAGCTATATTTGGGATAGGATAGTGTGGGTGTGGTAGGTAGCAAGGAGCTCTGCCTTAGATCTCTTTCTAGAAAGCAGGGAAGCGGGCTGGGAGTCAGAATTTTTGGATTCTCTGCTTTTCCTGCCATTTCCCGTTTCACCAATCATCCTTTCCTTATTCTGAGTCCTAGTCCGTGTAGGAAAATCTCTTTCTAAATATGGGAAGGGAAGTGTATGGGGGAGGCAGAGTCAGAAGAGGGAAGGACAGTGGTTGCCTTATGGTTGAGTGTGTGTACTTGTATACGTGCGTTTGTATTGTGTACACACGTGCACGTATGTGAGTATGTGCCCCTGTGTATGTATATGTGTGTGGGCATGTATGTCTTATGTCGGTGTTTAATTTATATGTGTACATGTATATATTTTTCGCTGTGTATCTATCATGATAAGTATAGAAATTGAGAGAAAGCACTGAGAAACTTTTATGCCAATCTGATACACTGATTTCATCTTAATTGAATCTAATAATAAAAAATTTGGCCTTGTGTTTTCTATATCTGTATGTTCTGTTTCATTTTTCCAGCAATTCATTTTATTGTATTTTATGAAAGTGCTGGTCTATGACAGATTGCATATAAAACTGCTCCTTCACCACAGTTAGTTGGAGAAGCACTAATTAGAACCAGATCAGGATTTTTAGATGGTCCTGATTCTGAAATTTCCAAGGGGGGGAAATTCACTTCAGAAGTCTGAGGTCATACCAATGAGGCATGAGGTCAGGTCTTGAGCATAAGCAAGGGGGTCCAGCCTCAGGTCTGCCTGTCCTTCCTTGCCTTCCTCCCCTTCATATGACATGGGACCACCAGGCAATTTTCAAGGGGGTGGAAGGCAGAGCCCAGGCTGCTCCTCCAAGCCCAAGCCTGCTCAGGGAGCTGCCCTCCCTTCTGCCTGCAGGGCATGTGATACTGAAGCTTCACAGAGATAAGGAGGGGTTTCCAAACCTCCATACTTTCACTTGGATAGTAATACACACACTCAATCAGGAAAAGCAGGGTCTTTTATTGCAACAAAATCAGATACATTCCTTTGCCCAGCACGGGGAACCCGGCACAGATTCTCCGGCCCTCCTTCCTTAGGTAATCTCTGCCTCCCCCGACGGGGTTCCCTCTGAACTGTCCAACCACAGCTCTTCTAAGGTCCTGACGGTATTCTTCTTCTTTAAGATGGTCTCCAGGGCTTCCCTGGTGGCGCAGTGGTTGAGAGTCCGCCTGCTGACGCAGGGAACACGGGTTCGTGCCCCGGTCCGGGAAGATCCCACATGCCGTGGAGCGGCTGGGCTCGTGAGCCGTGGCCACTGAGCCTGCGCGTCTGGAGCCTGTGCTCCTCAACGGGAGAGGCCACAACAGTGAGAGCCCCGCGTACTGCAAAACAAAAACACAAATAAACAAACAAACAAACAAAAGATGGTCTCCAAAACTGCATATGCCATAAGCCCCACAAAACCTGGATCCACCTCTGCTAAGAGCCTTAGTGCTTGAAGGGCCACATGGTTTCCACACTCAGAAAGCAAAGTAAGCAACAGTGAAAGGCTAAGGAGAATCACCTCTCTTCCCTCACCATTTGGAGCATCCACAAAACCCCGTAAGGAATTAAGAGTATGTGGAGTTGGCTGCGTGGGAGAGAAGTGGTATTTGCAAAAAGGGTAAGGATTAGTGAAGAACTCAAGGGAGGAAATGCAGCTGTAGCATCGGGAGTCTGCAGAGCTTGGGGTGGGGGAACACCTGGCCTTAGACAACATTATCCAAAAGCACAGGACCAGCTGGTACCTTAGGCCATCCTTCTGTTGTGGAGGATCACAGGCCATGATGAAGAATGCATCCAGTTGCTTCTCCTTGTACCTGCAGTCTGAGCACCTCCCTGAGATGAGCTTATACGTGGTCGGGCATACAGGCTTCTGGCTCTGGTGGCAGTTTTTACAGCCATTCTTGCAGGTTATGATGGGAGTCTCCATGCTGGAGAAGGATTCACGCAGGAAGGTGTTGAGGCCTTTGCAGCGATTGGAGTACTTGTCGATGTTTTGCATCGCCGCGTTGCATCTCTGAGGCCTGGGCTGCACGTGCTGAGTTTCAAACCACCGAGCTGAGGTCATGTTTCTGGGCTTGGCACTGACTGGGTCCTCGGCCATCCACAGGCCCAGCAGCAGGAGCAGCATCAGAGGGCAGAATCCTGCTCTGGCTGGTGCCATCTCTCCCAAGGGGCACAGTGGCACAGAAGAAGTGGGAGGTATGTGACTGGGTCACCATGGGTGGTGCCCTGCTAGCCCTTCTAAGAATTTCATACTGTAAGTCAATTATTGCAGGGCTCCTATAGCCTCAGATATTTAAGAACACTACTGGCTGTTTATTGTTCAGTCCCAGCAGGTAATGTACATTTTTATGCCCCCAATAAACACTTATACTGTTTTTCCCTCATAAGAGTTTTATGAGGTATGATTTCTTTCTTTCTTTCTTTTCTTTTTTTTCTTTTTTTTCTTTTTTTTAATATATGAACAAACTGAGACTCAGAAAAGTTAAGAAAATTGCCCATCATCACACAGCTAGGGAGTGTCAAACACAGGATCTGAATCAATGCTTCTTGGCTTCCAAAACCCCTGTTCTTTCCACACTCCCATGTTTCTTGTTTGAAACTCTGAGAAGTCAGACCACAAAAGGAAACTAATCTTGGAAGAAAAGTAGGCCAGGCGTCCGTACCTCACTCTCCCAGGCTAGCTCAGTCATTCCTGAAAGGCAGTAATAAGATTGTGGAGTCAGGCTAATTCCTCTCTGCTCTGTGGTCCAATTTCTCTCTGAAGCTAGAAAAAGTCACTCTCACTTCTCTAGCCAGCAAAGCGGTATGGTGACTTGGGTTATTTCTGTGGCTGACATGTTGCTCTATTGGAGAAAGTCTTGGATTGATAAAGAATCAGAGCAGAAGAGTTTTTCAATCAACTCTATTTTACAGATGAAAGGGGCTGGAGGGCCTGAAAGAGCAACTGCCCTTCCGAAGGCCACCAAGTGAGTGGCAGAGCTGGGGCCAGAGCTTCTTGACGTTCAGCCCATCCCTTTGGTCTAGAGCCAGGCTGAAAAGGGAAGGAGGAAGTGTTTCCCGTAGAAACAGAGCGCAGTGAGTGTGTCTGTTTGTGGTTTAAATGAAACATGAGCATTGCCTTCGGTAATTCTCTTCTAATCCTTCTGATGACATTTAGAAGAAGGTCTCCTATTAGAGCAAGAAGGTAAGCCTTTGTTTCCCCCCACTTTTCAGTACAGACAACAGACCCCAGGCTGAGTCTTCAGCTGAAAGCAATATCTGGATAGAAGTTTTAAAAATTGGATGGCATTCATTATATTTATTTTTACTTCTATTTATTAAGTGACCCTAGTATTCTCTGAAATATGATGTTACACAATTTCATTTTCAAAGAACTATTTGAACTAAATGCATACATACATATTTAGTAAATTATTATACTGGCAGTATTGCAGCAATTATCAAGGGCGGAAGCAAATGACTCAAGTGAGGGATCTTGCTTTGGCTATAGCCTCTCAGGTTTTTGCTGGTGTGTTGAGCCCTACCCAGCATCTTGACCTCCATGTGACTTCACTGCCTTTGAGATCAAATGCTCTGCAAAGTGACAAAAATCACTTAGGCTCCTATGATCTGCATTGCCAGATGGGAAACTTCTGAGATGTTTGCCTTTCTGTCTCCAAGGTGGAGCCAGGTTCATCAACAGAGCTCACCATTTTCATAGTGGGGAATTCCTTCCTGCACTCCTCCCCACAAAGCTAACAAAACATTGACTTTTCAACCCAGGAGAACATTATCCAGCAAGCAGGTGACTTGGGCCTCAGAGAGCAAATATATATATATATATATATATATATATATATATATTTATTTATTTATTTATTTATTCAGGAAGTCATTTCTCTTTTGCAGGCCCTCAGCTGAATCCTTCCCGTTGGGATGGAAGGATTACCATGTGATTATTCATTTACAGTTGCAGACCCAAGCCTCTGGGCTTTTGTGCACGAGGGTAGGGATGGCAGCAGGAACCAAGTGTTGGCATGAACATTTCGTGCCGACCAAGATGACTGACCACAGACTTTGCAAGCTCTGAATCCAGTTAAGTTGCAAACATGCTTTTCCTCAAGTAGGTGCTGACCCTGCAGCTGGCCAGCCCCACTCAGCGAGGCCTGAAGAAGGGGTTCCTTTGATTGTGTGTTTGATCTTAGTTATTCATCACATGTCTTCCCGACTGCTACAGTCTCAGGGCTGTTTTATCCATTAAGCACTAGAGGCCCAGTGACTAGGGTCTGGGAGGTTTTCAAGGGCCTACAATATTAGACTAGGAAAAAAAAAAATTGGCTCCAATATAGGAAAATTCAACTATAAAATCAAATTTAAAATATTTACTTACATGCTACCACAGTCACATGGTGGTAGCAGGTAAGTTGATTTCACTTATTTTGGAATTTGGCACCCATAAGAAGTTTATTGTGTTGGAAAACAATCTTAGGTTAGATTTTTTTCTCCTTTTATGGGAATTCTCAATACCACAATTACAGAAGCCAATCCCAAATTACTTGGAGTCAAACAATTTCAGAAGTAAAACTTTAAAAATCATTTCAGGTACACATCCGCAAGAATGATATTGAATGAGGAGCATACATTTTATATATTCAATATGGCGTGATAAAATGTTAAAATGCCTAGTGTGGTATGGGGGTATTAAACATAGCCCTTGACATTCTAGGGCCAGTTGCCTTGAGTGTATCACTTACTGCTCTCCTAAAGTCAGCCAGGAGAATACACGCCACCTTACTTTAGGGTCAGGTCAGCACAGGGCTGTACCACAGCTGCAGGAAGAAAGGAATACTGCTAACCACCATTTAGTGAACATGTAATATGCGCTTGGCACGGTGCTAGGTACTTGGTTACGGATATTAGCTTTCAATTAAAAAGTGCCTTCTGTGTGCCAAGGCCTTGTGCTTTATGTGTAATGCTATATGCAAAACAATATTGTGTTCCATGTTATTATCTCCATTTTATAGAAAAGGAAACTGAGGCTTGGAGAGGCTAAGGTCACAGATGTGTTAAGTGGCAGGCCCAGGATTGAAAATGAGGGAGGACTGCCTCCAAAGCTATTGTTCTCTTCCTGCCACACTGCTTCCCTGTTTACTGATAGTTACCTTATGGGCTGACAGTCACTCTGTGACTATTCTAATAGACAGGGCTCCTTTTCGTCTCCTGGACAGGTTTTGCTCTCTTCAACTTTACTTCTGTTTTTCTTTCTCTTCCCTAAGGGCTCTCCCTCAACTATTACCATCCTTCAGATCTCCGCTTGGTCCTATGAGCTTGTGCATAACCACCTGCGTGAACCTTCCTGTACAACTCTACCTCGGGTGAACGCTTCCTGAACGTAACCTCCTTCGGCATTAACTCCCGGTACCACTCATTTGGGTGCTACATCATGTACTACCTTGTTTTGTTATTTGACTCTTACTTGTGTATCAGGTCTTCCCAACTAGACGGTAAACTTGTGGGAAAGAAATCAGGCCCTTTCTTGCTTCTGTATCTCCACAGTGTCAGGCATATGGATAGCTCAGAGGGATACTCAGTAACTGTGTGTTGAACTGAATCGCCACTCTAGTCCTCTTAGTTTCCTCATCATTTGTAACCCAAAGAGTTTCAGCTGAATAATTTCTAAAAAGCAACCCCCCCGCACACTTCTAAGACTCTATGAGACAAGATGAAACATCAAAGTGCTAGTAGCCAGACTAGAATGTGAGGAGAGGCCCTTCAGGAAGACCCCAAAGATAGCTCAGAAGAGGGGGAGTAGAGAACACACAATGATCCTGTAGAGACTAGTTTTTTCAGGATGGCCTAGAGGCATATGGGTGAGGGGGCCAGAAAAGTCTGTCTGGGTTGCTGGCCTGAGGTAGTCTTTGAACTCCAAATGCCACCTCCAGTATGGCTGTCAGGCTTCACCCTGGAGGTGAGAGGTAGCTTCCTCAGGAAGAAGCGGGTTCTGGAAGAGCTGGGCTGGTGTAGGAGGGGCCGGGGCCACTACAAATGACCAGCAGTGGCTAAGGGGAGAATGGGCTGTGCATTTTCTGATCCTCTGCTTGGGTCCTGTGTGAGATTGTCCAGAACTGATTCCTGGCCCCTCAGTAGAGGGCACTGGTGGGATCTTTTCATAGAGGTTGTGTCTGAGGACAGGTTCAACTGTGAGTAACCAGCTGGAAGCTTCGCTGCTCTGCTGTTAGTCCTGACAGCCTGTGAGAAGAGCTGTTGCTGACGCCACTTGCTGCTTTCCGTAGGTGCCAAGGCTGAGACGGGCTGGGGTGCAGATACCCTGAAGTGAAATTCACCGGAGAGACAAGCTGAATGAAGGTATAACTTTAGGTTCAGGAGGCAGGTGGCTGCTAATAGTCTTCTGTTTCTTTGAGCACAGCACAGAAGATTTTCAGCTAGCTTTCTGCCAAACAGCTCACACATCCATGAGGACCACCTAGGGTTGGGACAGCTGACTGGAAGCAGCACTTACTCCTGATGATGGATGCCCTGCCACCCTGGCATTTGACTAGCTCTGTTGTGAAACACTATTGTGATGCTAATTCAGAAAGGAGACTGAGACTGTGAATACTCAGCTCCTCAGATTACTTTGTGAGTATGTATAAGGATATCCCCAGGAGAGAGGGAAGAGGGAAAAAAAAGAGAAAAATGCAAATAGAACGACAGTCCAGGAAGCTGGGTAGAGGAAAGCTCTGGCTGGAAAAGCCCAGAGGGAAACGAAAAGAATGGGCAGCCTGCAGGGCAGTGTCCTGCTCCAGAGCAGCTCTGGAGGACAGCAGGGCTACCTTGCCCCACTTCTCTGAACGTCCTCCTTGCTCTGCTTGCTGAGACCTGTGGTCTTGGCAATGAGTCAACAGCCAGGCCAGAGGAGTTGGGCTGCTCTCAGATTGCCAGAAGCTTTCACGGGGAATCTCTCCAAGAAGGAGTCTCCTCCAAGAGGGGTCCCTGACTCTGAAGGCCCATGGCCATGAGATGTCCTGGATCCTGGTTTCTAAACTCCGAGGCTCAGAGCACTATCACAGGAAATCTTGTTGCTGCACTCCTACTGGGAATCCTCCTTCCGTACCCAGTGGCTGACCCTCTCTCTTACCAGGTCCATTTTTCTTTACTGTGTAGCTCTTTGGGGCCTGC